TCAGAGGCAGAAAGTTCGACCGCCAAACCGAGAAGCTCAGCTTGATTCGGTATCTAGCCCCCCCTCCACGAGTGTTGCATGTGGCACAAGGCCGAGTTTAACGTGGGTTTCCCGAGCCCGTAGGCTCGGCCAAAAAATGCCTGTAGGACCCGTATAAACAGGATCGGGTTGGTCATTTCTCCCCGAACGAGACTCTGCCCTTCGGCGGAGCCTCGTCCGGGTTCCTTTCTGCTCAGAGGCAGAAAGTTCGACCGCCAAACCGAGAAGCTCAGCTTGATTCGGTATTCAGCCACCCCCACGAGGGTTGCATGACACAAGGTCGTTTTTATCGTGGGTTTCTATAGCCCGTAGGCTCAGCCAAAAAAATGCCCGTATAACTCGTAAAACGAGATAGGGTAGGTCATTTCACCCCGAACGAGATTCTGCCCTTCGGCGGAGCCTCGTCCGGGTTCCTTTCTGCTCAGAGGCAGAAAGTTCGACCGCCAAACCGAGAAGCTCAGCTTGATTCGGTATCAGCCCACCCCCACGAGGGTTGCATGTGACACAAGGTCGTTTTTATCGTGGGTTTCCTGAGCCCGTAGGCTCAGCCAAAAATGCCCGTATAACTCGTAAAACGAGATAGGTAGGTCATTTCACCCGAACGAGATTCTGCCCTTCGGCGGAACCTCGTCCGGGTTCCTTTCTGCTCAGAGGCAGAAAGTTCGACCGCCAAACCGAGAAGCTCAGCTTGATTCGGTATCTAGCCACCCCCACGAGGGTTGCATGTGACACAAGGTCGTTTTTATCGTGGGTTTCCCTGAGCCCGTAGGCTCAGCCAAAAAAAACCCGTATAACTCGTAAAAACGAGATAGGGTAGGTCATTTCACCCCGAACGAGATTCTGCCCTTCGGCGGAACCTCGTCCGGGTTCCTTTCTGCTCAGAGGCAGAAAGTTCGACCGCCAAACCGAGAAGCTCAGCTTGATTCAGTATCTAGCCCCCCCCCACGAGGGTTGCATGCGACACAAGGTCATTTTTATCGTGGGTTTCCTGAGCCCGTAGGCTCAGCCAAAAATATGCCCGTATAACTCGTAAAACGAGATCGGGTAGGTCATTCACCCCGAACGAGATTCTGCCCTTCGGCGGAACCTCGTCCGGGTTCCTTTCTGCTCAGAGGCAGAAAGTTCGACCATAAACCGAGAAGCTCAGCTTGATTCAGTATCTAGCCCCCCACGAGGGTTGCATGCGACACAAGGTCATTTTTATCGTGGGTTTCCCTGAGCCCGTAGGCTCAGCCAAAAATATGCCCGTATAACTCGTAAAAACGAGATCGGGTAGGTCATTCACCTCCGAACGAGATTCTGCCCTTCGGCGGAACCTCGTCCGGGTTCCTTTCTGCTGAAAAGCAGAGAGTTCGACCGTCAAGTCGAAAAAAAGCTCGGCTTGATTCAGTATCTAGCCACCCCCACGAGGGTTGCATGCGACACAAGGTCATTTTTTATCGTGGGTTTCCTGAGCCCGTAGGCTCAGCCAAAAAATATGCCCGTATAACTCGTAAAAACGAGATAGGGTAGGTCATTCACCCCGAACGAGATTCTGCCCTTCGGCGGAACCTCGTCCGGGTTCCTTTCTGCTCAAAAGCAGAGAGTTCGACCGTCAAGTCGAAAAGCTCGGCTTGATTCGTCCCTCTCTCTTGAGAGGTGTAGTATACATAGTGTTAGGAAGAATTCATTCTGTAGTTATAGGTAAGGACCCATGACAGAAGAAGAAAAAAATGATTAGTTAACATGAAATAATATTACAATGAAAATGAAAAAAATAATAGTTAAATTGAAACAAAATTACAATAGAGATCAAATAATTACTAGTTAAAACGAAATTATGTTACAATGAAAATGAAAAAAATTATTTGTTAAAATGAAAGAATATTACAATGAAAAAAATTACTAGTTAAAATGAAAGAATATTACAATGAAAAAAATTACTAGAAAAATGAAAGAATATTACAATGAAAAAAATTACTAGTTAAAATGAAAGAGTATTACAATGAAAAAAATTACTAGTTAAAATGAAAGAATATTACAATGAAAAAAATTACTAGTTAAAATGAAAGAATATTACAATGAAAAAATTACTAATTTACAATGAAAAAAATTACTAGTTAAAATGAAAAAAAAGAATATTACAATGAAAAAATTACTAGTTAAAATGAAAGAATATTACAATGAAAAAATTACTAGTTAAAATGAAAAAGATAATGAAAAAATTAAAAATGAAAGAATATTACAATGAAAAAAATTACTAGTTAAAATGAAAGAGTATTACAATGAAAAAAATTACTAGTTAAAATGAAAGAATATTACAATGAAAAAAATTACTAGTTAAAATGAAAGAATATTACAATGAAAAAAATTACTAGTTAAAATGAAAGAATATTACAATGAAAAAAATTACTGAAAAATTAAAAAATGAAAGAATATTACAATGAAAAAATTACTAGTTAAAATGAAAGAATATTACAATGAAAAAAATTACTAGTTAAAATGAAAAGTTAAAATATTACAATGAAAAAATTATTAGAAAAATTAAAAAATGAAAGAATATTGCAATGAAAAAATTACAATGAAAAAAAATTACTAGTTAAAATGAAAGAAAATGATTACAATGAAAAAATTACTAAATGAAAGAAGTTAAAATGAAAGAATATTACAATGAAAAAAATTACTAGTTAAAATGAAAGAATATTACAATGAAAAAAATTACTAGTTAAAATGAAAGAATATTACAATGAAAAAAATTACTAGTTAAAATGAAAGAATATTACAATGAAAAAAATTACTAGTTAAAATGAAAGAATAATATTACAATGAAAAAATTACTGAAAAAATTAAAAAATGAAAAGAATATTACAATGAAAAAAATTACAATAGTTAAAAATGAAAGAATATTACAATGAAAAAAATTACTAGTTAAAATGAAAGAATATTACAATGAAAAAATTACTAAAATGAAAGAATTAAAATGAAAAGAATATTACAATGAAAAAATTACTAGTTAAAATGAAAGAGAAAAAAAATTACTAAAATGAAAAAATTACTATGTTAAAAAATGAAAGAATATTACAATGAAAAAAATTACTAGTTAAAATGAAAGAATATTACAATGAAAAAAATTACTAGTTAAAATGAAAGAGTATTACAATGAAAAAAATTACTAGTTAAAATGAAAGAATATTACAATGAAAAAAATTACTAGTTAAAATGAAAGAGTATTACAATGAAAAAAATTACTAGTTAAAATGAAAGAGTATTACAATGAAAAAAATTATTACAATGAAAAAATTACTAGTTAAAATGAAAGAATATTACAATGAAAAAACTAGTTAAAATGAAAGAATATTACTAATTAAAAAAATTAAAGAATTTACAATGAAAAAATTACTAGTTAAAATGAAAGAATATTACAATGAAAAAAATTACTAGATAAAATGAAAGAATATTACAATGAAAAATTTACTAGTTAAAATGAAAAATATTACAATGAAAAAAATTACTAGATAAAATGAAAGAATATTACAATGAAAACGAATAGCGGATATTAACGCCTCATCTAAAACAGAGAGTGTCAACTAAATATAATCAATAACCTTAACAATCATTTTTCTTAGGATGAAAGCGCATTCAAAAGAATAATTGTAGTTTTGTGTTGTTAGAAATAAACGTGTTCATCAAAAAACGCAATCTAATCGTGGTATTTCGAAATGCTTGTTGATCGGATGTTAATTTGGCTGAGGAAAGAGTGCGATATTTTTTGTTCCTCTGAGAGACGGATATGCAATATAATTGGCCCGGATCTGGCATCTCGTCTACAGTTGCTCTCTCACAGACGCGCCGTCGCCTCTCTCTGTATTTTTTACAAATACTTTCATGGTAATTGCTCCGATGAGCTGCTTTCACTGGTTCCCAGACTCCATGAATTCAAGCGCCCTACGAGGCTGGCATCCCGCTCTCACCCTTACACTGTAGAAACTTTTAAATGTAGCCGTCTCTTCTACTCCAATAGCTTCATACCTCGCACCTCTCGCCTGTGAAACACCCTTCCCAATTACTGTTTCCCTGAGAGCTATAATCTCCAACAATTCAAATGTAATGTCAATCGACATCTCAAGTTACCTTGATCTATCCACTATCCTTCTCCTCATCCTTTCTTCTATCGCTCCTATCTGCTCTTGCTCCTAATCTTCTGCAACCCCTTGCGTGCTAGTGGCTTCCTCCTTGCTCGGGGCTTAATGCAAAAAAAAAAAAAAAATTGAACTCGAAAGGCTTTAAATTCTCTGGTATTTTTTTGACACTTTATACTTTTGTTTGTGTGCAGTGAAAGGTAGGGGTGAAGAAGAATAACGGTTATATGGGAAAAGTGGAGTAAAAGTGAAAAGAAGAAGAAGAAGAAGAAGAAGAAGAAGAAGAAGAAGAAGAAGAAGAAAATAGAATAAAACGTAGATGGAAAGACTAGGATAAAAAAGAAAAGGAAGAGAAATCAGAAGCAACAGATAGAACAGAAACAAGGTGAAGTTAGAGGAAGCAAAAAGGAAGAAGGCGGAGTAAGCAAAGGGAGAGAGTAGATAAAGAAGAAGAAGAAGAAGAAGAGGAAGAAGAAGAGGAAGAAGAAGACAGAAAAAGAACGACATCAAGATGAAGTAAGAGGAAGCAAAAAGGAAGAAGGCGGAGTAAGCAAACGGGACAGAGAAGAAGAAGAAGAAGAAGAAGAAGAAGAAGAAGAAGAAGAAGAAGAAGAATGAAATAAAAGATAGGTAAAAACAAAACAAAAGAATAAATTAATCAAAAGTATAAAATCGAAGAAATGAAAAAAAAAAAACACGTTGATTAAAATAAGAGGAAAAAAACAGAAGGAAAGAAAGAAAAAGACGAAGAAATGAAAATATTTAAAAAAAAAAGACAACCACAAGAACTTCGACAATTTATCGAAAACGTTAAAAGAATAAAAGAAAAACAAGTAAAAAGAATTAAAGAAAAGAAAATAGCGAAGAAAAAACGAAAATGTATAAAAGGAGAAAAAGAAGAAAAGAAGAAAAAATGGTGACAAGAAGAAAAAATAACAAAAAAGCAAATAAAAAGAGAAGAATATAACGAAGAAAAGAAGGAAAATGAGAAAAAAACAAAAAGAAGGACGAATTAAATGAAGAAGAATAAACGAAGGAAAAATAAGAAGGAACTTTTAGAAAATATTTAAAGAAAATACACGACAAATAAAACATGAAAAAGAAGAAAGAATAAAGAAAGAGAAAAGAAATAACCAAAAATAAAGAATCGAACAAAAGAATGAAAAAGAAAAATACGAAGAAGATAAGACAAGAAAAAAGAAACGAAGGAAAATATGACTAAAAATACAAAGACGAATGAAGTAAAAGATGGAGAAAGAAAGAAAAGAATGAAAAAGTTGAATAAAAGAATATAAATGAAGGAATTTAAAGATGCAAGAAAGTTATACTGAGAATCATAAAGCTGGCATTACTGTTGTAGCTTGTTTAAGGTCCAGAAAGAAAGACACAGAAGACGAAGGCAGGTTGAACAAGTGTATTGAAATAACAGATATATACAAAGCAAGAGTGTTAGTAATATGCAGATAGAGGTGTACGTCCGAACGGTAGGTTAACACTGCGTCTACGCTTCCCCAACTTACGCTTGGTCAAATGAAATTAAAAAAAAACTGGGAGTACAAGGTTTTGCATGGCAAATACCTAAAAAGAACGAAAAAAGCAGATGGGTACCAACTGAAAACATATCAGTGGCTGAGAAGAGTTGAAAGCTGAGACAGAAGGCCTAATTATTGCAGCTCAGGACCAAAGCCTCGCAACCAGATCCTACCACTGTCACATAATCAAGGATAGAACTAACCTGAAATGCAGGATCTGCGGAAAATATGCTGAAACTGTCGACCATATTATCTCAGGATGTCCGAAACTGGCAAAAATATGAATATACCCAGAGACATAACAAGTTAGTGACATATGTACACTGGAAGAGATGCAAGAAGCACAAAATCGAAACCACAGAGAGATGGTATGAGCACCAACCAGACACAGTTACCCAAAATGCCGATGTAACTATCCTCTGGGACATGCCAATTCAAACTGACAAGGAAATAAAGGCCAACAGACTTGATATTGTCATAAAAGATAAGAAATTTAGGAAGTGTGGGCTTATTGAAATAGCAGTACCCTCTGAGAGAAACACTTCCATGAAAATTATCGAGAAATTGTTCAAATACAAGGACCTGGAGATCGAGATTAACAGCATGTGAGGAATAAAGACAGACTGTACGAATAAAAATCAGAGCTCTGGGTCTCGTGAGAAAAGGAATGGACAATTTTACTAACAGTGTCACAGGTAACATCAACATCAATGTTGCCCAGAAGATCGCCATACTATGAACATCCCATAGACTAAGAAAAGTGCCATCAATTAAATAATAATTCTCCTATTGGGCCCAAGGACCTTACTTTGGACCCGGCTGTACAAGATACAAAGCAGGAAACATAACATACACAAATGAAAATAAAAAATAATAATAATAATAATAATAATAATAATAATAATAATAATGCAGAAGAACGTGATTTAAGAAAAGAAAAAGAAAAGGAAAATCATAGTGTTTAAAAATGTTTAACAATATTTCGACATTATGTCTAAGTTATGTTTAAAAATTGCATTCAAGTATAAAAAAAAGAAACATCTTTGTACGAACATCACTTGGCTTCAGAAAAACGGACGTATTTGTAATCAACGAGTGACGACACGAGTGAAAGGCAACCAGCATGAAAGGAATGCAACTAAAACGTGTGTAACATGATAGGTTGTGTTCATCTTGAAATTTTCCGTTAGTTGATTAGTTAGTAAGAGCAATTAATCAAATAGTTCAGTATAAATCTTGTGGAAGAGTTACGCCAATCATTTTGTTTTTAATAATGATAATAATAATAATAATACTAACAGTAAGAAGAAGAAGAAACTGACTGCAGACTCTCCAACCCAGCACCCAAAATACACTTCATTGGTAGAAGAGCGCTCAGATACTTCTAAATGTTTTTAACCGTTGACACCCGTAAAAAATGATGGTAGGGATACCAGGCATATTCTGGGAGTCACCCAATACGAAACATGGAATGAGAGTTATCATCTTTGATCATCACCAAAAGATACAGCCAAAAAATCAATTAGTTTGAGAAAGAGAGCGAGAGAAAGTGAGGGGGAGAGAAAAATGGTGGGGAGAGAATGGGGAGAGAGAGAGGGTGAGAAAGAGATTGGGAGACAAAGAGATTGGGAGATAAACTGAGAAAGATAGATAGATATATTGAGAGATGAACTGAGAGAGATAGAGTGTGTAAGAGAGAGAAAGAGAGAGAGAGAGAAAGAGAGAGAGGGAGAGAGAGAGAGAGAGAAATAGAAGGAAAAGGAGATAGGGAGAAGAAAAAGTGACTGTCTACTTAGTAGAACCT